GGCGTCTTTAGAGCATCCACAACTGTCCAGCCTGACTAGACGGGCCTCCAGCGATGTAGGGGGTCAAAACGCAAAAAAACGTTCCAACGGAGCTCGCACAATCGGGGGTGAGACGTCGGGGGCCTCCAGATTTCCATCCGGACCCCCCACATCTGCGAGGTCTATAGGGGCTCCCAATATCACGTGCCACTGCTTCCACGTGACCGATATAGTCACGTCTCAAACCGCACTCGAAACAAGATGATATGGTACAAGCATACCATATCACTCAATCGAGTTCTGGCCCCTGACTTCAAGTGCACCGCTGTGGACACCTGTTTTTTTGACCCCCTACATCCACAAAATCAGGATCGGGGGTCTGTTCCAGGGCTCGCAAAGTAGGTGGACCGTTGTGGATGCTCTTACCCCGGGGCACTGAGGGGACCTTAGTTAAGTTAGCCTCAATGTAAGGTTTTGTTGTGTATGGCATCGTTTCCTCGATTTCAAGAATGTACTTAGCAGCTAAGGTCGTATGAGGTTGGACCCGGTGTTCAAAACTTTAGAATACCAGTCCGCACCCCGCCTCCTTGGCATTTGCAACGCCCCTTGGTCATAAGCATTCAAGTCTCAATTTTACCATCTTCATCATCCATAGTTCTTTCTCAAAATGATCAAGAGTAGTCGAGGATTACTGGTGATGCGTACGAATTCAGCAGGTCTATATTTTCTCGAGACGCGTCTTGGATTGATATTTTTTCTGTTAGCTCGATTAGGTTTTGTTTTTTGGTTGACTTGGAAATTAAAATTCTCCGATCCGATCCTGGAAAAAAAATCAAACAACAGCCGTCCATCAACTTGTTTCTTTGAATTTCTCCAAAAGTCGATACAACATTATACATCAACCAAGGAAGATTGAGTAAGATGGGTTCTCAAGAATTTAATTTAGAAGATGCACTTTTAGAAACGAATTGTCCGGATTTAAAATTAGTTAAACGAGGTAAAGTAGTTGAGTATATATTTCTCAAAAATCGGTTTAGAAATTGAAAAATTTGAAAGAAATCGGTCTGATGTTTTTTGTTTTGATTGACTTTTTTTATAGAGAGATATCTATGAAGTACCAGGCGAAGAAGATAAATTATTATTTGTTGCAACAGATAGGATTTCAGCATTCGATATAATTATGAAAAACGTAAGTATCTCAAAGAAACCACATCAAATTCCATCATCGAACATCCTATCCTCACTTCTGTAATCTGAATGTCTAATGATGATGATTCTCTCTGTCGTTCGATCTTAAAGGGAATCCCAAACAAAGGAAAACTTTTAACTAAACTATCGGTTTATTTTTTTCATAAATTTCAACATTTAATTCCAAATCATCTAATCACTTCAGATTGGAATCAAATCTCATCTAAATCTAATTTAATTCAAAAATATTCATCTCAATTGAAAGATAGAACAATCTTGGTTAAAAAATCTCAAGTCTTAAATTGTGAAGCCATCGTTCGAGGTTATCTAACCGGTAAGATCGAACTCATTCGCTGATTCCTCTATCGAACCCCTTTAACTAACTTGCTGGGGTTTTTTGTCCGTAGGTTCTGCATGGAAAGAATATCAACAAACTGGAACTGTACATGGCATTCAGATGCCTGAAGGTTTATTAGAATCTTATAAATTTCCTGAACCGATCTTTACTCCAAGTACCAAAGCAGAAATAGGAGATCATGATCAAAACATTCATCCAGATCAACGTAAGTCAAAAAACCCCCCAACAATCTTACAAAACAAATCATCTAAAGCAATCAAATTGATGATCATCTTTTTTGTTTTGTTTTTCACAGTCTCAGACTTATTAGGTTCAAAAGAATTATCAAACCAAATCCAAAAGACTTCAATAGATCTATACAATCTAACCAATGAACATTGTAAATCGATTAACTCTACATTATTCTTAGTAGACACTAAATTCGAATACGGAATAGATCCTCAAACATCAAACTTAATTTTAATTGATGAATGTTTAACACCCGATTCATCTAGATTCTCAACTATTAAAGATTATCAAATCGGTCAAAAGTTTTCTGGATTTGATAAACAATTTTTAAGAGATTGGATCTTGAATCAAACTGAATTAAATTTAAAATCTATGAAAGATTTCGATTTAGAGATTCCTAAAGATGTTTTACAAATCACTTGGAAGAAATATCTAGATGGATTTCAAAATTTAACTGGGTTTGAATTTCAATGTTAAAAGAGATCTCGAATCGTCTCTTGTTCTTGTTCTTGTTGTTCTTGTTGTTCTTTCTCTTACATTTTCTTACATATCTACATTTTGTATTTTTTAAAAGTGGAATCCACCAACATGGCAAATCACAGGTGTGGTTAGCACTCCCAAAGCTTGGAAAGTATTCCACCAGGACCTTCCCAGTAGTCCAACTCTTCCCTTAAGATTTAACTCTTCAAGGGTTTCAGAGTAGCACCAAGATTGTCAAATCAAAAATCTTTCTTTCCATATCTCTGATGAAAGTATTGATGGTTTTCTTTTTTTCAAAAGTGGCCAATCAACACACCCTAAGAATAAAGTGATTATGTGTCCCACAAGAAAGAACAACTTTCTCTTTCCAAAGATGATAATAAGAGAGATGATCTTTAAATCCACTCCAGAAACCTCAAAATAAGTTGAATTCTGGTCAAGGAGAAGTACATCTTTCCCACTCCAGGCTTTTGAAGTATCAAATTGAGTTTCAATTTTTTTAAAAAAAGAACATCAAACTCATACTTTTGACTATGTAGTCATCAAAAAAATTCTGAGGCATGATTGGACTTAGTTAAGTTTGGCATATATGTATCAAAATCCATATTGATTTCCTCAGAGTGATGTGATTTGTCTGGTTTTAAAGTTCTTTCAGACATTCTTTGAGCGTTTTCCATGCACCTAGGATATGTTTTGACCTCTTCCAAGTTCCAACCTTGCTCCGCCCGTTTGCACCACAAGCTGGTGGGACTTTGGCTGCTCAAATTTGAAATTCTGACCTTTTTTGTCACTAACCTAGGCCTAACCGTTTTCATCACTGACCTCCACAGGTGCCAAACTTAATCCGTCCCTCTCCCTCACAAACCCTTGGGCAGGCGCTTTCCACGCTCCTACTTGAAAAGGAAAGAAATAAAAACACTCATGGGACTTGAAGCACCAATATAAGTTTCGGGATGTTCCGGGCTGTGTGACGGCTTGGCGCCAAAGACCTATAAGTTATGGCTACAAAAAGCAATCCAGATCCTGTAATAAGTCTCTGTCTCTGTACATACAACAACGGAGAATCTCAACCTATCAATTATCCCACTCACATGCTAAGCTTAACCAAGCCCCTCACGAGCGCGTTTGCCGCGCCGCTCAAGCAGTGCAAGAGTGTCTATTCGTCACAATAGCTATATTAGGACATGTACAATTGCATGAAGAATTGCATACTTGAAGCAGCTTGAAGCTTAACACTTTCTACGGTGAGGTGAAGCAACAAGGTGAGAAAAGAACATAGGAGGACATAATTCTTGGAGCTCACACGCCAAAAATCACGAGTCCACTGTAATGTAAGGGCTCTGGTATACCGTAGGTGAGCACATGGCTACCTAGGTAGGGTTTTTAGAGGGAGAAAACTACTTTAATAATTCGATAAAGAAAAGGGAACATATTCACAAAAGGACTCAACAATCACACCCAATTCTTGGTCATGCACCTTCCAGTTCCTTTCGGAAGGTGTCAGCTTACGAGAAAAAAAAGAGACTGGCAAGAGATTTCCTTCTGCATCCGGCTGAGATAATATAGCAGCCATTGCAAAGCCCAAACAATCTACCTGTAATGCCCTAGGTTTGTCAAAATCAAAATGAGAAAGCAAAGGGGCAGTAGTGAAAGCCTTCAGCAAACGGTGAAAAGACGAAATACACTCAGAAGTCGCAAGACCATTAAGAACATGAACACCATTCCTAGTCAAAGCGGTTAGAGGAGCTGAAATAGTGGAAAAGTGATGAATAAATCTTCTGTAAAAGTTTGTAAAACCTAAAAAACGGTAAAGTTGTTTGGAGTTAGTAGGGTATGGCCACTCCGCAATTGTACTCAGCTTCTTTGGATCCATTTGTAAACCATTTTCTGAAATTAAAAAGCCTAAAAAAATAACTTCTTTTGCATAGAATTGACATTTATCAGGAGAGACAGATAAATTATGACGTTGAAGATTTTGAAGGACTTGAGATACATGACGAGTGTGATCTTCATATGTCTTAGAAAAAATTAAAATATTGTCTATGTAAACAAAACAAAAGACACCTAAAAATTCAGAGAGAACAGATTGGATAAAACGTTGAAAGCAAGCCGGGCCATTTGCAAGACCAAATGGCATAACCAAGCATTCAAATAACCCCCAAGGAGTGCGAAACGCCGTTTTCCACTCGTCGCCTTCCTTGATATGTATGAAATTAAACGCGGCCTTTAAATCTAACTTTGTAAAAAATTTGCAACCAGTTATTCGAGTGAGGAGATCACCAAGAAGTGGGATTGGAATACTGTCCCTAACCGTAATTGAATTTAGAGATCGGTAATCAACACATGGCCGGTTCTTCTTTCCTGGCATCTTAACAAAAAAAATGGGGGAAGCCGCGGAAGAAGAGGAAGGTCGTATGTTGCCCTGCTCAAGTTGCGCATCAAGCCAACTCCTTAGCTCTGATTCTTCCAACCTAGCAAGTAAGTAAGACCCACCAAAAGTTGGGACCGCACCCTGCTTCAACTTAATCTCCATATCATACCCTTCCCGATGCGGTGGCAGTGAAGATCCACCCTGTTTAGGAGTGAATACGTCAGCATACTTAGCAAACTGAGGCGGAAGAATGGAAGATAAGGGAGATGTTTGAGAAAGGGCGGAAGAGGTGTTTGAGGAGCAAGGAACAGTTGAAGAAGAAGTGACAGGTGAAGAAGAAATTTGAGTTCTACGAGTAAGGTATTCACCATCAGAAGGTTTTTCTTGAACCGAAACCGGGTTCTCTAATTTCAAGGTAGGACCAACGCCACCAACCCAGCCATCGTGCTGTTTTAACCAATCAACTCCCAAGATAATATCATATCCCCCAAGAGTCGTAATGTCGAGTGAAATGTCGGATTTGAACTGATGATTTTCGTGCAGGCCTCGAAGAAAGAGATGGCCATCCCATTCGTGGGTGACAACCCCATCCTTGCTACTGGAACCATCAAAAGTAATACAAGTAATAGGAAAAGGTCGAAGTTTAGAGATCAACCCATGTTTATGAATAAAACTCTTATCCACAAAACTTCTTGATGCACCCGAGTCTACAAGAGCACGAGCCGGAAAGAAACGCTTGCCACAACTCAACAAAACAGACAAGATCAGGCAAGAATCATTGCCCTCTTCGCCTTTAAACGCAATTGCAGAAATCTGGTTTTCGGATGATTCATTGAACAGCGGTTGAGCAGAAAAATACTCTTCTTCATTCAAACCGTGACCGATATCTTCATGCTGATCTTCACTTAAAAAATCATGAAACAAAGCAGAGACGTGAGCAGTTGGGTTTTGATTGGGTACCGGAACTGCAGGGGCATCATGCACGAGAGGCGGAAAGTCAGGCTGTCCAGAAGAGATTGGCGGGTACGCGTTCAACAAAGAGGGTCGTATAGCCGCAGGGCTTTGATGAAAACCAAAATTCACTTGCTGACGAGAAAGAACTGGATTAACCACCGGGCTTCGTATAGTTGATCCTCGTGGTGGATTAATTTGATGAGTGAGAGGTCGTCGAACAGAACCTACAGACGTGTTTACAGCCGAGACGGACTGAGTAGACAAAGACTCCCTTTGCACATTGGCAACAAAGGCATCCATGGCCACTACCGAAGCACCTGGATTTGGGCAACCGGCTGGACGTCCTTCCGCAGTTTGATGAGAAGAATCATAGGCTTTGAGGCATTTATAACAAACTGCTCTTTCTTGACACAAGTTCCGATAATAATTCATCCCTACTCTAGAAGGTCTTGATGGGATTTGTCGGGTCTGAAGTGCATTGACGTCGACTTGCATAGCATTTGGATTGTACGGAACAATGACAGAAGGAATTTGTCTAGAAGGAGGTTGTCCTGAAGAAGAACGCTGTTGAACCTGAGTCGGGGATGAATAAGATCTAGCCATGTTGAGATCTAAGACTTGTCTTGAAGCCAATAACGCCAGATCTTGCATTTGTTTTAACGTCATGACATTGACCCAATCAGGGTGCTTCATTGCACGCGTTAAGATATCAGGTCGAATTGCCTTACTATAGTAATCCATCAAAATAAGATCTTCCAATGACAATTGAAAAGCTAACCCATCGAACAACGAGTTGAAGTGCAACAAAGACAACTTTCCTTGCTTCAAGGCTTGAAGTTCCTTAAGAGTAGTCATCGAGGAGAATTTATCCCCAAAGCGATCTGCAATTTGATCAAAGAAACCTTCTAAAGAGGAAAGAGACTCGGTGATAAATTTCAAATTGGAAGCTTGATGATTAAAAACCACACCATGAGCCTTGGAATTCTCTCGGAGCAAACTGGTCCACCAAACTTGAGCAGATGAGTTTGGAGGAAAATGACGAGCAACCCATCTGATACGACGCGAATCATCCACAAAACTGTTGTCGTGGGAAAATAAAGAATCACGAATGGCATTGATAAACCAATTCACCGACTTCGGATCAGAACCATCGAAGGATAAGGTCGAGATCGGAGCCGGTTCGGTACGAGTCTGACCTCCTTGTTGTGATCGAACGGAATCTAATTGAGTATTGAGCTGATTTACGACATCTTCACTAGATTCCTTCGCCTCCTGACGCAAAACTGCCGTGGTGGAAGAAATTTCTGAACGCATTAATGATATAACGTCAGAAACTCGATTCCCCAACCGTTGATCCAGATCCGCTACCTTCATGCATTCTTGAACCACATTGGTCAAGTTTGCCACCGCAGTCGATAATTGAGCAAAGTCAGAACGAAGAGAATCAAGTTGAGTACGTAAGGAAGAAACATTTTCGTCAATCTGAGAACGAAAGAGTGCCACGTTTTCCGAAGCCGTTTGAGTGATTCGTTCTTCCAAAGTAGATTGAAGTAAACGAAGAGAAGGGTTGACATATCGGTCGGCAAATGATTGTTCATCATTTGTCAACACAACAGGATTATCGCCAGAAACAGTAGATCGTCGAGTAGTCATAGCTGATGATGATAATAAACCACGAAAAAATAAGGAGTTCAACAAATTATATGATAAGATGATGATAATGACCAGAAAGAATAGAGCGTTGAGGGCCGGACAGAACCAAACCACACCTACTAAAAACCACAGAAATCTAATGACGTCATAAAAAAAGAAATGAAAGATCGAATATAATCTATAACACCTCCTATGACGCACTATCCACATATTACCACTAAGAACCGGATAACACTGGGTAACAAATAACCGTACGAATATCAAACCTAAAACTGAAATCACTCGAAACGTACATAAAAACAGATAAAATATTACGCTAACATAAAAAAAGAAAACTCTTCCCAGCAACCAAGACCAAAAGGTTACACACAAAATGAAAACACATAACACCCAATAAAACAAAATATATACTTGATTAAAAAGAACTTGCTTAAAATCCAATATATATATAAAAAACGAAAATATAAAAATTCCACAACAATAGTGACCATATGTACAGAAAAGCGTATTCAAAAAAAGTACCATAAAAAATGAAAAAAAGGAACCAAAAAAAAGAAAACCTAGAAAAAAAAGAAAACGCGCGACGAATTTTATTGATTGAATTATACTGTAAGGGCTCTGGTATACCGTAGGTGAGCACATGGCTACCTAGGTAGGGTTTTTAGAGGGAGAAAACTACTTTAATAATTCGATAAAGAAAAGGGAACATAACTGTTACAAGTAATATATATATATAACATCTTTGATAAAACATCTATCCTAACTATTCGTAACCTATCTATCCTTCTTCCTTAGCAACTAACTTTCTTCACAACAAGTTTTCCTTAACAACATTTGATACACATTTGATTATTCTTCTTCTAATATCTCATATCATTACATGTAAGAGCATCTCCAATGCTCCCGAATCTGAATGTGGGAGCTCGTGGGGGGTTAGTTTAGAAACGTAACCTGTATTGGAGTGAGCCGGTCGGACTCGGCGAGGCCGAGGTCGTGTTCCCACATGGAACCTCCCGTGTGAACTCGTTTTTTCGGAAATGACACGTTCCCAGGCTCAGGTCAGCAAATTTGCTGACCTGGCCGAATAATCTGAATCCCAGTATCCCAACGACTATTGGGCCAAAAATAAAGAAATTCATACATCCGTGGACTACCTTTCTCTTTCTTTACGTGAGGTGAGCGCAATCGATCACATGTATTGTGTGGAACGCAATAGGTGCGATCGACCAATTACTTAGATGAAGACATATGGTGACGGGGGTTCAACCTCAAATGAACCCTATGAGGAATTGGGAAAGAAGTTCAGTTGTGCGTTGCAGGGCGCTGTCACCTGAAAAAAATTACAGCTGTCCAGCCGAGGGAAATACTGAGCTGTACATCTATTCGGATTCAGCCACATTGGAGATGCTCTAAGCCCCTCTGCGAGGGCGCGGCGAACGCGCTTGTGGGAGCTCATGGGGGGTTAGTTTAGCTTACTCACATGCCGACGTCCGAGCCGGTCGGACTCGGCGAGGCAATTCTATCAGCTTTCGAACGTTTGTTTAAGATCTGTTATAGCATGGGAGTCAAGATTTCATGTCGAGTCAAGGAAGGAAAGAGGACAGCTCAGTCCTTGATTTTGCTCACAGGCTAGTGTTGATTTTGAACAGCGTGCTCAGCGTGGTCAACGTTTGTCAACAGCAATGCAACAAGTTTTCCCGGGTCATCGCCTGTGATTGTTTGTCCTTACAGAGTAACCTAAGGGGAGGTACATTTTTGCACCGACCTATTTACACCACCCAACTCAGTGTAAAACAAGGCCGGTGTAAAATTCCAAAACAACCCGGGCAATATTGAATTTTACACCTTTTTGATCTTTTTTTGTGTCCGTGTAAAATACATAAGTGTAAAAGATAAGGTGCTAAAGTCAGTGTCCCCGTTGTAAAATGGAATTTTACACGTTATTCATTACACCGCATGATGAAGTGTAAAGGATTACAGTGCAAAAATCATCTTTACCTGGCTCAGCAGAATTTTGCACCGGATCCTTTACACCACAAGGATCCGGTGCAATTCACTCAAGTGCAAATTTCCATAAGATGTCGTCACAAATGCAATTTTGCACCTCTTTACACGTTTTTTTTGTAAATTCGTTATCATCAGGCATTCCAAGAAAAAATTGATACCAACTAAACATCTGATTAGTTGCAAGTACTGACTAACTAGAAACAATCATGTATTGAAAAAGACAACTAAGGCTAAACATCACGCCTAAAAAGAGACGACGAAAACAAGATAAGAAGAACATTTAGGCTATTTTTTTTTGGCCTTCTTTGTTGCTGGAGGTTTAGCAGCTTTAGCAGCGGCCGGACGCTTGGCAGCAGGAGCTTTGCGAGCTCGCTTGGCTGCTGGCGGCGACACATCCGCCTGCACAGGAACTATTGGCATCTCCTCGAGTTCCGCCTTCTTCTTTGGTATTTTCAACTTGATCTTAATAGCATCTTCTTCAAAGATCTCCTCGAGCTGATCTTCTTTGCCTTCGGAATCAACAGAGCCTTCGATATCCAGATGAGCCTCTGGTTTTTCATCCACTAGGGGCGGGAGGCCACCTCCAAATGGCATTCTTTCTGTCGGCATAGAGAAAGGAATGGTGAGGGTATGAGTCGGGAACTGCTTCATCAATCCACGAAGGACGGTTGCAGTTTCTTGTACTTCACTATCGTTTGGCATCCGGGTGTAACAAATCCATGAAGTGTGAGGGATTGGCCCACCGATTTTTGTGATGTCGCGTTCGATTAGTTGAGCAAAACCACCATTCTTCAGCTCGTCGTAGTGCCAGACACCCATAACATCTTGAATACATCGAACCACTTGGCACCAATAATGAGATGCCGCCCAAAAGCCCCGTGCAATCATCTTATAATTGATATTTCCTATACTAAAGTGCGCTGGCCAGTTGGTGTTGCCCATGAAGCTTTCGCGCTCGTGATTGGTCAATTCAACAACCCCATCCAAGTGGATGTATAAATGCAAAGGTGCTGAGTTCGTGTCGGGAAATTCGAGCTGGAATCTACGTTCCATGGTTGCAAGGTCTTCTTGTTTGGAGCCGGCCAGAGTTTCATGTGGGTGACACTGTGAGCATACAGCTGTAGTAGAAAGGCCAGTTGTTGTCCACCTCTCTATCAACAATTCGGCATCTCCATAAGATATTCCAGCGTTGTGGAAGGTGTGAGGTAATACATGTAATGTAGTCATTGATACTAATGAAGTTCGATTATGTTCGACATTTCGAGAGCAAGTGCTAGTCTTGCGGAGAGGTATTTCAAAAAGAGGTCGCATTGGTGATTTCTGTTGGAGGAATTTTTCGAAGAAAGAGTCCGCACAAGCAAATTGATCGGCAATGAAGTACCCGTTCTTTTGGTCTTCAATGGCACGATGTAAGATTCCTTGTCCTCGTGATAAAACTCCCTTGAGGCCACTTCCTTCAGTCAGTTCGGCCCGAAAACGGCTGGTAAAATGACGCATGAGTAGATTGACCAAGCGAGTGCCATTAACTGTGAGATATTTGCTCCAACCAGGCCCGTAGAGTGCGTAAAGACATTCGAGAACTGAGCTTTGCCAGCATCGGTTTTTCGTGCCAAGGGTGGTACCACAAGTATAAGATTGATAAGTTGTTAGAGGGTGGCGAATGACATTTTGAGACCCCTTTGGACGTCCAGGTCCTTTCTTTTTTCCACCAGTGCCAATGAGCTCTTTGGTCGTGTCCGGCGCCCGTCCGTCATTAGGGACATATCTTCGTTTGGTGGGTTTGGGCATACCCAACGTCTTCACAACCTCCTCCCAATTTTTTTGCGAGGTTCCATAGGCGATGGGAATACCTTTCGCCACTTGCCTATAATCGCGTTCCAGGCTTTGAACCAAAGCAAACAATTGAACTAATCCGGGAATTAGTTCACATTTCCCTGGACTAGTAATGGTAAGGATAACAAGAACATGAAATATGGTCAGTAAGAACAAAGGCTTAGAAAAGATGGAACAGAAAACAGCTTACCAAAGGACATAATACACTCGGTGCATTGACTCCTGCGCATTTGTGGTCGCAGGCAAGTTTCGCCGACGTCGAGGTTGATCCGTAACATCTTCATCATCGCTCTCGTCCAAAGGAGGATCGTCTTCAGGCATACGTTTGCGGGCTGGAAATAGCATGGCTTGTATATCCGAAGTACACCACCAATCTAACCACTTTTTCGCTTTAGGAAACGTGGTTCGTAATTCTTCAAACCTTTCATCGAGTGTTTTTAAGTCTGGTCCATCGGGAAGTAATAGCTCTGCGCATTTCTCCGCCCAAAGTTCCTGAATGCGAAAGATTTTTGATTAGAGTGAGGTATCGAATTTAGTGAAAGCCTCTAGACGAAAATGAAGATAATGATGACTCACCTCCAGATGCACTGGGACTATAGTGTGATTTCGCTGCAGGCGCATCACTGCCTGTCTAAAGTGCTGTAAACAGCCGTGCAATTTAGACATGGCAGTAACCTCATTCACTTGGAATACCTCCATGTACGCCTCTACAAAGCCATTTTTCTGCGCAAGCGAAAAATCCACTACTTGTTCACATAATAACCTCTTCTCTTTATCTGATTTAGTTGTCTTCTGGATGCGTTCGAATAAAGTCATAAAATGAGCCTTGTAGTGGCCAGTATCAAGTCCGGCGAGCCATGTGAGAAGAATCGGGACCCAACGTCCAATTTGTTCAACATACATCGACGTCGTTAATAAGTAGCCATTCTGAAAGAATCTGTAGGTAACATCTGACAACAGTCCACCTGAATATGTTTCGCCTTTGTACTTGTACAGCAGTACCTCGGCCATCCAATCCGTCTGCAATGAGTAATGGAAGTTTTCGGTCAAGCAAGAAACCGAGATCAATTGCATGCCTTGCCTGTAATCATCAAGTCCCCTGCTGATCAGCTCAAGTGAAAGATAATCCGGATACAAGGTGTCATACTTACTTCGCCCAATGCTGAATGGATTGCAGCCATTTATCTCCTGCTTCTGGGTCGTCCTTGCTTGGCATTAGGCCGGCTTCCGCTAGGAATTCGCGTCGTAAGTACCCTAGTCGGTCAATGTGGCCAAATGAGGGATGTAGTTCGCTGATAGACTTAATGGGTTGTGTTCCTAGATGCACACGCCCAACCTAGCGTCCAAAATGACAAGGTCAACTTAACTTGGTTGAGGTGATATGTTACTTTGAGATAAAAGACGCACCTTCAGACCCAATGGTCCTGTCTTAGGATCGTTGACCACAGCCTCCTTTAATTTGGCCTTTGCAAGTGGGTCGGCCTTCTTGGCGTCTGGCCATACGTGTTTGTGTACACCTCGATGTCGTAGTAATGCCCAACCTTCCTTTTTGTTGATGTCGATTTCGGTGTCGATTCGGCATTTGCAATCACATTGGTAATGGGTCTGAATCCCTTTGCATGTGCTGATTGGACATGGCGTGCAGCTAACCCGAGTCATTTCGTTAGTAAGGAATCTATTTGACTTAATGCAGAGAACGTGTCAAACCAAGATCAACTGACCTTTCGATGACATCAGAGATCTTATTCTGGCCTGTTGGAGGGGGGCCAGCGAACTGACAGGTGGGTTCGGAGCATTCCATTACGCCTAAACATGCATAAGTGCGTGTTTTCCACTGCTTGTTTTTTGTAGTCGAGACTCGCATCTTGTGAGTCCATCCGATGAATTGCCAATTCGTTATTATATCTTTGGCTTCCTTGACAAAGACGGTGTCCCCGTTTGGATAAGTTGGGTAGTTCTCGGCATCAACCTGGCTACCGTGGTCGATGAAGTTCCTGTACTGGCTTTTAAGTCCTGGCAGTTGCAGTTGTGGCCGACGTTGAGACGGAGCTTCAACTTGATCATCTTGACCTTCATTTCGAAAAACATGACGGTCCAAATCGAAGGGAGAAGAGACATCGGATTTGACGGAGACATCAAGATCGAAATCGTCGCCAGCTGGCTCTAACCTGGTAGGTTTCATCACGGTAGTTTCGAGGGTTCCGGCTGATGGTAAGGTACTTTCTTGAGTTCCGGTGGACGAATATTCGGACGAAGAGGCTGAAAAGTCTTCAGTTGCTCTGGGGGAAGATACCAGAGATACCGACAGACTCGAGGGCTGTTGACCCATCTTCGAAATGTCAGAATGATTGAACACTGATTCCGAAAGAGGAAAGCAATGCTCCTTATGGAGGTGGTGGCTTGTCAACTTTTGAAGAATTGTGGCAATTCCACAACGTAACATAGTAACGTTCCGAAAACGATTTGACCCTCCGTCCACTCTCACACGTATATGTGGTATGTGGGGATTGGGCATATGTGCAGTTGGGTTTGGCTATCAGGAATAGATATGAGATATCTTCATCTGATGTTTGGTTCGTAGGATTATTTGGTGAGGTGATCAGGTGTAAATTGAGAATGATGAGAGGTGTAAAAGTCGAAATCACCCCGGTCGAGTGGTAATATTACACCCATGAAGTTTACACCGGGCTGGAACGGTGTAACGGGTCGGGTGTAAAACTCTCTTTTCCCCGGGGTGGGGGATTGTTGCACTGGATTTTATTACACCGTAAGATGCAGTGTAAAATATCCGGTGTAAAATTCAATTCCGCCGCGGGCGACCCGACTTTTACACCGAAACTTTTACATACAATAGCGGTGTACAAACCTACGACCCAACTTGAAAACCCATGAGAAAAACCCATGAAAACCCAACTTCTTTTTGGGTTTTTTTCATGGGTTTTCAAGTTGGGTCACCCCGGACTGGTTTGAATGCCCCAACACCCATCACATCCTGAAACATGCCCAGAGTCTCAGGCCGTAGGCAGCTCCTGTCGTCACTCAACGCTTTAATCTTACTTCACATATCTCTTCTTGTCACCACAACCACTAACTCCACTAACTCCAGTTTCCTTCAAACTTCAATCGCTTGTCTGGTAATGGTGTCCTTCATGAAATCTGACGACGACAGCAATCCAGACGATAATATTGGATTTGAAGAACGACTTATCATTTTTGCTTACACAGTCATGATGATATCATCTATGAACCAGCGTGCCTACATCCAACGACAGAAGCGAAGATTAGAAGAGGAAGAATCAATTTTAGGAGTGCTATTGATGATACGGGAAGAAGCCAAAAGGAGAAGATACCCACTACCTAGACTTCGCCGGCCTCGTATTAGTGAGAAGGCTCGAGCTTTTCAATCTTGGTTTGATGAGACTGATCGCACATGGTTCATGGCTGTAAGCTCGAGTTAAGTATATACATCTCTGTGATTTTAAAATCTGATCATCTTCCTTTTCAAACTGTGTTAGGCACGCATGTCGAAGGATGCCTTTACCAAGCTTCTCCACCGAATCGGATGGTGTCCTATCTTTCACAATAACTCGTCTTGCAATCAGGCACCGGTCCAGTGGCAGCTCTATGAGTGGTGAGAAAAGGTCAAGGACGGAACAAAAGGCCGTCAGTGTTGAGAAGTGGATGTGGCGAATGGGGGAATCGAACAGTGGAGTGTGATTCGGTGTAAAGAATCCGGTGTAAAATTACCCGTTTGCCCCGCTTCGGTGTAAGAAATCCGGTGTAAATTTCAACTTTGGCCTGGGCACAAGACTTTTACACTGTTTTTTTTTGCACAGCATTTTCCGGTGTAAATTTTCCAGTGTAAAATTAAAAATCACGGCCGGGCAGAAGAGTTTTACACTGTTTTTTTTACACTGTTTTTTTTTACACAGTTGAAAAAAAATTGAAACACGTGTAAAATTCGAAAATACCCCCCCTTTTCTCGAATTTTACACCGGATTGTTTTTACACCGAAAGAGTCGGTGTAAATGACTCGGTGTAAAATTCTCCTACCCCGTAACCTAAGCGGAAGTAAACTTAACTAGCGGCTGCGGAAGTACCAAGCGGGAGGAAAGGGATTAGCTTGAACAAGACCTCTCTGCTCTGCGAGGCGCGCGGACGTGGCCGCGCAGAGAGGGCTTGTTCAAGCTAAGGAAAGGGAAGAGTTTTTCAAATGCTGCATCATTTTTGCAAGTGCATTTTTGACTTCCCAGGGGAATGAACGACATATAAAGAGTGCTTGTGTTGCACACAAGTTGTCCTCCAAAACACACTCCTTGACCATTCTACAGCCCTTCAAATTCAAAACAAACACAAAAATGTGAGCACGCTCAGCCTTACCTTTCTACCTTTCTACCTTTTGTCCTTTCGACATGAGTTGGACAAGTCGATTTCTATGAAACATCTCAATTTCTTTTCCTTTTACCCAATGGCAATAATCAATTTGATCTGTTCTGACTTTGCATATCTCTTGGCTAGCTTTCGTCATGAAGCTGTTCACTACAATTGTTCTGGCTACCATGTTGGCCTACGCTGTTCAAGCTGCTCCGGCGAAGCCTAACCCTGCATGCAAGAGTCGCCTGAATCGTGAATGTACATAATATTGAGCTTCATCATCACAGTGTTTATCATACATAGGAATCAAATCGTAAGCTGTTCTTCATCGCGAAAATTTGATCACAAGTCGTTACCGAGCCCTAATGCACACTCTCGACATGTTTAATTTCCCACTCGACTAATACCCTTTATGCTCCTCTCGCTCTACAACCGATTACAACTGGTAATCTAGAACTTATGTTGCTCTGTCGTCTTTATGTCTCACTATCTAGAATCTATCGTTGTTCCTGTATGACTCTTGAGCCAAGCTCGATCAATTCTATCATTTGTTCATCTCAATCTTCCAGAATTGCAGTCCAATCAAATCAAATCTTTCCTTTATCTCCAGTCGGTCATTTCAAATTGTTTTCATCTTTCTCTTGCAATCCTCTCACCTGGATATATCTTGTATGTGTGATCTTGTGTTACAAATTTAGATTTCTTCACCTCTAAGATCTCATTGGTCATAGTTAGACAGATTTGCTATACATACTTTCTCAAATACAATCATCTTGTTGGAATGTGCGAAAGATGAGACCAGATACAAATTATAATTTTGCTACAAAGACCAATCAATTAAAAAAGAGTTTTGGTTACTACAACTTGGCAGATTGAAATATATCACATTCCAAGAAAATTAAACTCTTTTGACCAAAGGGTCTTCTATATGATGGTTGATCTTGAAATTGCAACTTATTGTATAAATACCTTGTGAACAGCATGGTGGGGTGTGGAGCATGACCTCAATGTCTGGATATCAATTTATGAACTGTAGCTTGAGTGAAGGGAAAAAATGGATCAGTCTTGTGAAGTTTTTTGGTGGAAAGTGAACTGTTCAATTTACTGACATTGTCTTCCAAACATACACTTTAGCCTTGTAACTCTTCTTTCTAACAACAACATTGTTCAACATTGATGATGGCAAGTCCACAGGGGGTATGAGATGCTGGGCTTGCAAACACAGCAGCAAACATGCAAATTGAATTAGCTAAGGGCCCTTTTGTTAGCTGTTGACCTTGCAGGCATATACAGCAAAATGCTCAAGTATACGCCTGAGAGGCATTTTGAAGTGTACCTCTGGGTGTTGAACTGTTTGGTACAGGTTTCTTTGCATACAAGTCAAGCTTATGTCTCTCAGGTCTACCAGTCCATGTCACCTAAGGACTGTTTCAAAGTATGATGTTCTTGTTGAGTGATAACATTGTATCTCAGTGTTTCAGATGTTGTGACATTCACACTTAATCAATGATTTATTACTTCACTATATTCATTTATATAGAATCACTTATCACAATTGACCAAACATGAACTCATTTTACATAATAGATCACACAATAGTTCTAGCTCTTGTGATCTCATTTAGTCACAGAAACATCCAACATCTGATTTCAAACTTTGATTATGTCTCAATTTAAAACCTTGATTAACTTTTCATTAGTGTTAAAAACTTAATTACCATCCTTGTTCTCACTTATAGTCCGCATTCTCAGACAGAAGTACTCTTTTCCTCATCCGTTATTTTACGGGAGGAAAAGAGTAAGTCTTTTTATTTTTTCCTTATCTTTTGTTATCTTTTGTTTTCTTAATTGCTAATTTATGTGTGTTATATTTCATATATTTCATCTGAACTCATGTCAACACTAGATTGTCCGCTGAGCATATTGCATTGAATTTCCTTCTTTATTTTCCTGACCTGAAAACCGTATAGGTCAGATATTACTCAATGTTTACATTCTTTTCTTTTTATTCTTTCTAACTCTCTTGTTGGGGTTGTCTACATACTTTTCTACCTGATGTACAGGTTAGCCTTCAGGTAATTTGTGACAAGAAGTATTGAGGCTTACTTCTAGGTATTGTCACGGGAAATCTCAGGTGAAATGTTATCCGTTATTTTACGGGAGGAAAAGAATTGTCCGCTGAGCACATTGCGTAAAATTTCCTTCTTTATTTGCCTGACCTGAAAACCGTATAGGTTAGCATCCATGTGGTTTGTGACAAGAAGTATTGAGGCTTACTTCTAGGTATTGTCACGGGAAATCTCAGATAACGGATTTGTTGCTTTTCAGTTCTGAGGGTGGAAGATGTCATGTCATAAACCTCTTGTTCTTGCTTACATTAATGGTATGCTAGCTTGTGAGCTATGATTGAAAACCAAATTGTACTTTCTTTCTTCTAAGAAACCAATCTAATTGATCCTTGTTTTGGAGATCCTCAGGTTGCTCTGACCATGAAAAGAGAAATCAGCAAGAGATAGGGAATCAACAATGGTCTCTTGATATGTCTCCACTGTTTACTATTGGGACATTCATAAGCCAACATCAAAATCAAATGTCTATATAACACCAAGGTCCCTGATCACCGATTGGAACCACATTCAACACAAACTTGGATTTTTCATAGTCCACACAGGATTATCATTTTTGAAACCCTCAATCTCTGCAGGTTGATCTGCTTTTCACTATACTGGTCAAATGTCTTTGTTGTCTCTGTATGTGGTTGTGTTTCACCTCTTTTCTACTGCCTCTTTCAACCCAAAGTGTTACAATTCTCTCTATCACTGAGGTCTCTGATTGCCAATTAGAACAAGAATTTACACAACTTGGATTGTTGACAGTCATCACAAACGCTCATCACTTTTGAAAATCTTGATTGCCGCCGGTAGATCTGCTTTTCCTCCAACAGGTCAAATGTCTTTATTAGTTTCCATCCATGGTTGCATTTGACCTCTTCTTTGACTCTTCTTACAACTAAAAGTGTTGCAATACTTGGTTCCATGCCTAAACTTTTGTAAGCTATATGCCATCCTCAATCATATGAGCACATGCTCCTTTGTGTACAACAGCAATTCTGCTACACCTCCACGTGACAAGCAACATGGAGATCCTCTTTGTATACCTTGAAACCTCACTATTGTGTTCAGAGACACCTGTCTATCCTATTACATGTTTCTCTTGACCTCTTTGTTCCTTTTGTCCTGTCATGGCAGTGCTGCACGCCTACCAATGCCACCTGACTTTTCAACAATGTCTTTATCATTTTCCACTTTGGATCCTGAATTCATCTATAGACTACACACTGCCAGCATTGAAGAGGTTCCCAGATGGGAATATGGGTTGTATGGATCAGACCTCCATTGTGATATATGTACTCACAAAGGCTGTCTGATTCCTATGACCCATATTCCCATCTGGGAACCTCTTTAATGCTGGCAGTGACAGTTGTATCCTCTCTCTTTTCAACACATCACTGTGAACATCATTCAACTTCCCCAAGTTGGAAGAGGAAAATGATCAATAGTCAAGTTTGTCATAAAAGGAACCAAAACTGCACACCTGAGCCATAACACCCAAACTACATATGTGCAGCAAGCTAAGTAAATAGTTGTCTGTCATGTACATACAGGTCTGCTCAGTTTTTTGCCCATCAGGATAAATAAATCACATGTTATACCACATGTAACTTTCTTGACTTTGGAAAAATTGTCCCAAAAATTCACTACATATGACTATGTAGCTGCTCGGGCATTATTGTTGAAGCTATTTCTTAGTAACAGAAAGGGTGTTACATGCAGTTGGGTTGATGAGATTACACCAAAACGTTGAGTAAGTTATGTAGTCAATCTTTTGAATGCTTTTGTCAATCTGAAAAACATTACAGCATGTATTACATATGAATAACTTATCCTGATGAGCAGATAACTGAGCAGAACTGTATGTACATGATAACCACCTATTCACTGAGCCTGCTACACATATGTAGTGTGGGTGTTATGGCTCAGGTGTGGAGTGATAGATCATTTTATGACAAATCATAATCCCAATAATTTTTTCCCACCCACTTGGGGAAGTTGCATAATGTTTGCAGTGCATATAATTACTGAGTGTTTGTGCTGCAATTTCCGTTCTGTACCTTCTGTTCACCTTCTTCCCTTTTCTCCAAATTCAAACTATACTGATGCAGTGGGCATCCCAGTACCAGGCACTCCACATGTGACAGCAACTAAATCAGGAAAGGGGAATTGAGTGTATGGCCCACTTTACTTACTGTATTATGGATAAGAAGGATGTAGTTAGACTATTGCATCCAATAGAAAAAGCTTTCCGGCTGTATGCCTTGACCTGAATGGTATCAGTATCCAGAGCTGAGGGTTATCCCTATGCATGAAAGAGGGCGTCACAACACATTCAGACAAAATATAGTGCATTTTTTGTTTTCTGGGCGGGCCCGCCTATGCTCTAGTACTTTTGAAATTCCAAAGAATAATTTTTGTGTCAAGAGAATCAAAGGTCATTCTATCATTGATCCATGGGTAAGTGCTAGGTGGAAACAAGCTCTGTATTTTGGATATATCTAGTTTACATGTGCTAACAATACCTATCCTGTTCTCAGCCTTATGCAATCCTAACTTAGGATCTCCTAAGTTGAGAATAGGTTTGGGGGGGGTTCTTGAGTGTGGAATTGTGCCAGGTCACCTCAGGGCCTACGTTAGAGGCCCTACAGGCTCTGACCCACGGTCTATTCCATGCTCTAAACCGTGTAAAGAGCCTGAGAAAGGTTACCGGAGAGTCTTGTCCTAGCCTAGGGATGGTGGGTGGGCGTTAAATTTTTAAATACTTATGTTTATCAACTTGAAGAGTTTGTTTCTCTATTTCTACGACTGAGGTGCAGGGAAAGGGATAGTAGAGAGGCAAACTTAACTAAGTCCCTATGGATGGACCTAACCACCAACTCCACCAGAGAGGAGGAAAATTTTCCTCCCTCTCTCTGTGTCCTTGGCCCACCCAACCCTGTCGTGTATGTAACTTACATGTGCACCCAGTCTTAGCTTACCCTTCTTGCTACGGTAGAAGTGTCCTAACACGTTGTGCCTTTGGTGGGAAGCAGCAATTAATTTTGGGTGATTCACTCAAAACCTTTTACATTTATTTTCTTTCAAATCAAATTCCACAAAATATAATCAATACTTAACTTTTCCAAAAACATAACAAATTATCAATTAGAAACCTCAAAAATACAAGGTGCAAGTTTTACTTTTGCTACAAATGCCCCTCCACTCTCTATTGGACGGAGTCTCAGAAGAGGTGAGCTTTCTAATTTGAGTCCAGTTTACATTTAGTGTTCATATCACATTTCATGTATTTGCTTAGTTGTAATGTATAGAATATAAGTACTCATAGTTTGTCCTATTCAAACTCAAGTATCCGTTCTCTGAACACTTGGGTTTCTTTGGGGGGGGGCAGGGGGGGCCTGCCCAACAAGGACAGAGGGAGGTAGGACCACCAAGAACCTGAGATTGGAGAGCGCTGAACGGTGGGCTAGGCAACTCCCTCTCCACACACATAACTTATGCCGACTATAACTCACCATACTTAAACTTACCAACTTACAACTAATAGAGCCCATGGCGTGGGCCACGATTCTTCATTTCCAAAGCATATTCCACTTATGCACTTCAATTACTCCGTTAACACTGTATCGTACCGGGACGGACACTTTCGGGCGGCGGGCGGGTTTTGAAAAGAAGAGCTTAAGCTGAAGCTTAAAGTGAGAGAAGAGAGAGTGGAAGACTCCAGATCTGAGTGTGGGATAGTTGACTATGGGGAAGTTGACACACATGGAAGGGGTAGAGAGTGAAAGGATTTTTGCTTCACTCTACAAATCTTCAAGCTTGCGTCAGGAGAAACCTACCCTCAACCTAAGGCTATTTCTCCTGTTTCTCATAGTCTGACCCCGTCACTCTTTGTGGAAACAGATGGTACTGTTGTGGCTTTGGGTACCGTCAACCAGCCCAAAAGAATTTGGTTACTATGTAAACCTGGGCAGATTGTTTCCCGCCAATAATCATTAGGACAGCACTATTTGGCGACCACTTTTTTTAACCTGACACCCGGTTGGGTTTTGGTACTTATCCGCGCTTTACTCACATAACTCGGCCCTGTCTCCGCCAAATTTGGCCGCAGCCGCAGCCAATCCGGGCATCAAACAAGTAAACAGCTTTTGTATTCAAAAGAGGGCTTCTCACCATGAGAAACCGGGCTACTAGAACACCTCCAATCAAATATCAAACTGGGCAATCACCATTTCTCGACCACCACATCAAGCTTCAACAATCAAATCTCCTTTGGAACGAACCAACGTTTCTATCCCTTCCGCATTGGGAAGATCAAACGTTCAATTTTGAAGGTGACTAGCCAACGTGAATCGCCTAAAGATGGTAAGTGTGTTGTTCAAGTTCTTTTCCTCATTTTCTTTCTTCCGGTACTGACTTCACCTCACGACTTTCTTTGTTTGCCTCCGCTCAAAAGATCCAACTGTCTTTCTTTCCAAGCACCGCAACGCAGCAATGCTTGATAGCACCAAATTACCCACCTGGATCAAAAGGGACCCAATTCAATATGTGGATTGAACAAAAATGATATGCAGTTTTTGGTGTTGTATACTTTTCTCTTGGTCTCAATTCACCATCTCATGTTTGTTGATTGATGAGTTGTTGTGGTTTGTGTTGTGTAAATTTTGTCTTAGTCTTAAATTCTCACACTCGTTGCTCATGTCTCCCTCTTTTTGTATGATTACTTCCTCTTACTTACTCTAACACTTTTTTTTATTTCTATCGAGCTGTTTTATGTGTTTGGTTTTGAAATCCAAAAGTTATTGATCTCTGTGATAAACAGATCCAAGAGTTTTTTGACGCTTCAAGCAAGGGCGCGAAGAGGTAAAATTGACCTTTGATGATGAGTGAGAAAATGAGACATTTGAATGAACAAATTGGTGGCGAGCATGTTTGCTGAGCCAGCCAGCGCAATTTCAAAAAATCATGATTTCAAATTCAAACCGGGCTATATTTCAATCAAATAGGGCGTTGACTAACAAGTATCCAAAAACCGGGCATTGGGTCAAAAAAGGCGGTTGCCAAATAGTGCTGTCCTAATTATTAATGCCAGGGGATGTGAAATAAACAATTTCGCCTACTACAGCCCTTTGCATGATTGATGACTTTGAAGAAGAAAAAACCTTGAGTTTTTTTAAAAAGTGACTGAGTTTTTTCAAAAAACTACCAAGTTTTTGAAAAAGTCAATGAGTTTTTCTTGAAATTTTCAAATGTCAATGAGTTTTTGAAAAACTCAGTAGGTTTTCAAAAAAACTCGGTCACTTTTTGAAAAAACTCGAGGTTTTTTTTGTTGAAAACTCAAGGTTTTTTTTCTCCAAAGTCATCAATCATGCAAAGGGCTTTACTATTCCTGTTTGTCAAAACCTGTTCCAACTACAGCCCTTTGCATAATTGATGACTTTGAAGAAAAAAAACCTCGAGTTTTTTTGGAAAGTGACCGAGTTTTGTCAACAAACTGCTGGGTTTTTCAAAAAGTCAGTGAGTTTTTTTTGGAAACCTGGCCCAGTAATTCTAAAAGAGAAAGAGCTCGCTCAGTTTTTGAAAAACTCGCTCAGTTTTTAAAAAACTCGATGAGTTTTTGAAAAAAACTCGCAGGTTTTCTTTGAAAACTCAAGTGTTTTCTCTTTTTCCAAAGTCATCAATTCTGCAAAGGGCTGTACGTGGGTCAGCATGGGATTAGATCGGGAAGCAGGAATACTGCGAGACCCTGTGGTATATCACTCGTAACCTAATGAGCCTTTGCACTGATCCCAAAGTCAAAATTCACTCTGAATAGTAAAAAAACGTTAAAATTGTGCCTACTGCTTATGAGAATGCTGGTGACTATGGTCGTTCTGAGTACAAAAGGGCCCTCAAAGTTTGGACCGTAGTGTACATACTTTAATGACGATGGGTGATAGCTGATTAACAAAATATGAAACCTCAAAGTGGGCACAACTCTCCTGACTCAGCGTAGCAAATCCTCTAACAGAAAGATCGAAACTTATCCCTTGACCATCCGTTCCGACAAGTTCCGGCTCACCTCGAGCCATAAGCAGCAAGTAGCTTGTCTCTCCCCTTGTGTCTCACCGAAATCAATCAAAGGTCGCCTTTCCATGGGACCTAGAATTATCTAGGCTATGATGCAACTTAATCTCGAGATGGAGAGGATGATTCGAAATGTCACCATGAGCTCATGGAGAAAGATAGGTTAGCCTCACAGCCGGAATCACGCTCGGTTCAGGTTTGATTGCGGTGTTCCATCTTTGTAATTTTCTTATCAGTAACGCCTTTTAGTCTCGCGCGCAGACTCGATACGCTTGTTCAAGGCTCTGTCTTATCTTCAGCCTCAAGAGCCATAAATCATAATCATCAGTGAAACCAAAATCTAGTCATCCAACCAATCTTTTGTACCTTACCCCTTCAAGTTGACACCATTTCCCAATCGTTGAATCCGACATGACAAGATTGAACTCGCTCTCGCTTGTCCACTCCCTGGTCACGATTCTCTCATGGCGTTCGTGTCTATCATTGGCAGAAGTACCCTTCAACTCGACTGTATCTCTTGTTGGACCAGCTCTGGAGGCAGCACGGACAAATTGTACGAAAATGCCTTTGAAGCAGGAGTTATGGAACAGTCTGGACCTAGACAATTATATGAAAGGATATGTCGGTGGCGAGACTATGCCATTACTAGTACGTCGAGGCTTGATCTCAAGAAAGAGAAACCGCTGTTCATTTATTTTTCAATTTACCTTTCTACAGACATATGCTGATCAAGCCAACATGACCAACTTCGTGTGCGGAATTGGAGCACCTTGTGATGCGGGACAAGTTAAGATTCAAAAAATACATTCACGTAAGAATATTCAAGCTGACGAGTTGTCAATAGATATGTAGTAGTGCAAAACCTCCTGATTGGTACATCCTGGTGGCCACTCAAAATTGGAGTCAGCTGATGAACGATCTATACACTTCTTTGGCTTATGGGTGAGTAACGCATACGTATCTGAAGATGATCTATCTAAATGCTGACGCCTTTAAATCATTTTAAAATAGAATTGGGACAGTGCAAGGTGAAGAGTGATATCCATCGCTTAGTCTTCCGCCAGCTAACTGATTATGCCTTCCGACTTATACCGATTCTTGCTTATATTTTCCACGATTTTCATCTCGTCAAAAAAGACATCGCCCCCTCTATGGTCAGTTCAATTCTGCAACCTATGATGGTCATCGGAAGTAACTCGTAATTCTAAGATATTTGGTTTCTGCCCCAAAAGGTCACAGACCTTTGTCCTGAAAGGAGTGCACTTCCAGTAGAATCTGCAACGTCAGTAGTTTGTCCCTCACTCGATAGATTGTAGGATTGTAATTCATTTTGGAAACTCTAATATGCTGCTATTGTGAAACTAGCTGGCTCGGTCTAGTGGCTGCTTTCTCAGGGGCTTTGCCTGGTATGATTTTCCCGGGAATGGGCGTCTGGATTTGGGTCGGTCTACAAGGTGTTCTATATACAACTGCTTCAGAAATCTGGTTTTATCAGAACGTCATTCGTGCACCGCCTGACGTCGTCAGTGGATACACAAAGGTCAGTGTTTGTTCTGAGACAACCAAAAAATGAACTCGTGATTTATCGCACCTAAATTCCTCTCCTAAATCATCGTCACAGTGGACAAATTTTGCTTGGATGCTTTCAACGATGCAAGACCAAGCCCAAGAGCGTATCTCAAACTACACAAGGAACGTTCTGAGTGCTGGAATCAGTTCTGATGATGGGATGTACGGGGTCCTGAAAAATGGTATATTCCTAGAGCGACCACTCAAGAGGCCACAGTTTGAGATACAAACAAGTTTTGAAAATATCGTCAGATTGAAATTATTAGGGGCTATCATGCGCGCACAGGTAGGCAACTTTTACAGAAGCTGCGGTTTAATTTCTGATGATTACATCGTCATGTTCATCTCTGACGAAACGCTTTTTTACTAGAACATATACATTACCCGAGGAAGTGTAAGTTGTAACAGTTGTCTTGGTGTACTCACTGTCTCAGCAATCAGCAACGTTCGCGAAGTGATTTCGAGCTGACATCTCTTTAATTCTCTTAGGACCCTTGCGTTCATTCAGGAGCTGGGGGTGCATTTGACAACAAGGGTGTACTGTCATACTGCGGAAAAGATAACGTGTATGTATCGGGTTTCTTTCTTCACTCATGCGACGCACCAAACGTAACAGAATTCTGACACTAAACAATTTTTGCTAGGATGATGAATATAGTTCAGGCTAAAGGATCTCATACTAAGATGAAGATATATGGAGCAGAACTTATTGAATCAAAATACGGATTCTCAACAGCCTTCTTGACTAAGGCTGCATGGACATGTCAGACAAAATATGGAAAATATGAGTACGATCCTTATCAAAACAGGTAAGTTTGCATCACCTTTCGAATTCAGGTAAACTGGCAAGATGACTGATGTGTGATACAACTTCTTCAGTACCTTGCCTAGTGATGTGAACTCGGATTGCTTGTTCAATATTCCAGTTTGCGATTGTAGTCGCGAAGGTAAGTCTTTTTACAGAAGCCTTTCACAGACACTTGCTTGGTAACACTGATGTTTTGTCCGACTATCAATCTATCCTTCAGATATTGCACGGGCAAGAGCCAAGGGAGTACGAACTACCAAAGCTTGCTACGATGCTGGAGTGCCAGTATACTACCAAGAGAAGAAGTTTGTTGGATATCAATGAAAGACCCCATTGGAGCAGTATATTTTCGAATTTCAATGCTATGACCAAAGTCTGGTGCGAGAAAACCCCGAGGCGCGCGTTCTACTACATCATTTCTGACCTGAAACGGATTTCCCGGCCTCATCTAAGCATCATGAAGATATTTTATTCCTTTTGAATATTTTATTTCTGGAAAATATACCCCAAGTCATTGTGTGCAATCTGTGGGGGTCAAATTCTGAAGAAGCTCTTTATGTAGTGATTTGTGTTATGTTCTTTTTATTCAAGCAAAGCATTTATACCTATATTTCAATGCACCTTTTACACGCCTCTTTTACCTGCACGCGCCAAATTTTACAATAAGCATCTACCACCCTGCAAAGTAGTTGTATTGGTAAAGATCTGGCCCCATGTATCACCCCAGATATTACATCATCGTTCAAGCCAAATGAAAAACTTGTGTGACACCAAGACCCTATGTTGCGGTTAGTCTCATGAATCCATAGGAAAAATAGCAGGAGAGAAATATATAGTAAACCATGACAGTGGAGCAATTTTCTGGGCACAGCAAGAGAATAACATCAATTGAGGTATGGAGTGATGTCAATTTCATTAGAAAAAAACAATCATATTGGAAGCCTGTAACTTATAACCAGTTCTCAACTTGCATTGTAATGTACATCTGGATCTGTTCCTGTGACTCAAGCAACGGCTTCAGGACTCTGCAGGGATTTTTGCTCGGGCCGCATGCAAGCTTGATGATTTCCGTTTCAGATTGATATGTTCAAGTAGCATTGGCCAGGCGAAGCAGATGATCAATGAGGGTGCTGTGTGGAGTTAATAGGCCTTGTGGTATGCCCAGTGACTGGGATGTGGCCGGTACCCAAGACCAGCCTTCACGTGACATCCAAGTTCTAACCTAACAAAGTCCCTCTTGACAATCCAACCTGCAACTTGCAAGGGATGGACTTATTGGTTGTCCACAAAATTTGGTGTGTGAGCAAGAAAATGTTGGATAGGGAGTTTTTCAATCCACCATAACTTCTTACCCTTCAGATAAACAGTCTTTGGACCAAAGAAAAGTTCTGTGTGCCCCTCACCTTGCCTATAGCCATGTATCCAAACATGTCTTTTTCAAAAGCCATAACGGATTTTCATTGAGGAAGACTTGTAGCTTTGGTGTCTATAACATTTTATAGAGTTTTCCCAAGTTTTCCAAAGGTATAATCTGTCTTGCTGCTAGGATCCAAGACAACACCCCTCAAATCATTTCTAATCTACATCTTCCAATCAATCATATAACTCATTGAAATTTAGTTTAAGATAATCTCATTTTGGTTAAGGTTATCAACTTCAACTTCAATTTCATCTTCTCCATCACTTATCAATTGTTTTATCAATCAATTCATCAATCAATTCTTGTTGATCAATCAATCTCAAAACAAGTCTTGAAAGATGAAGAAATTATTCAATCTATCATTAAATCTAACATCTCAATCACAAAGAGCAGAAAATATATCACTGATTATCATCAAATCATTCCACTTATCATTAAACTCAACTCCAGAAATACAATCATTGATATTAAGCAATCCATTTCAATCATCTCACAAAAATTTGATCAATCAGTTCAATTATTGATCTCAATCACCAAGTTCTCATCACCTCATCTCTCCAATGATTATGTGAATCATATCATTCATCACCCCATTTTTCATCATCCATCAAACCATCAACATCACCAAAATATCAATCACATGAAAGCATTACTTGCAACTCTGCAAAAGATGTTAAATTTAAAGTGTAATTGGCTCCCTTTTTTCTTATATTTTTATCAAATGTTGACATTCCTTGTTAGGTATTGCTCTTAATAATTAGAATGGTCAGAGATTACTGAAACTCGTCTCATAAAAGAGTTGCTTTTGACTCCCAGACCAATACTGACTAAAATCTCTATTTTTTCCCTTTTGTTATATTTTTATCAAAGACTAATTTTTGTGTTAGTTTTTGTCCTCACTAGTTGAACAGGTGACAAAGTTCCAGATTTTGTTTTTTTTACATTATATCCAAAACTAAATTGTATGAAAATAATCCCTCTACTGTAAAAATTGAAAACATTTAGACAGTCAAAAACCAATTTGTTCATTACAAAGTTGGATTGCTATCAATGTGAGGATTCCATTTCTACCCTTGGCCTTAAAATCAGATCAATTATTTGGGTTGGATAGTTTTTTTCCTCGAAATACCCAATTTCACATATTGAGGCACTGCCCACCATACCTCATGCTTGTGATTCCTGTAGTGGAAACTTGCTTCAAAGCTATGTTCAGACTAGTTGTACTCACAATGTTTTTGGAGCCAAGGAGGTTGAGATAATTTGAATGCAACTACACCCTTATGCAGAGTCATCAGTGGAACAAAATCCGGAGCAAGATAGTCCTGGGGGAAAGCTTTCCCCATGAGCACCAAAAACTTTGGCAGGGGCTGAAAACTTCTCCACAGCTGAGAACCATGGACCACAGAAGGAAAGGTAGCCCTGTACCATCCTTGCAAAAACTGAAAATGCAATTGGATAATTAGTCAAATTGAACCTGGTGTTTAATGACTACTGTTGTTACAATTTTTACAATACCTACATAATAATTGGAGTTGTTGGATGTGCGCCTTTGATGTAGGATATAGCCTATATGGCTGATTTTGATAAAAATCCAAACCTCTGTAGCTCACTCAAGTACAAACCTAGAACAAGCCAAGTTTGTACTCACTGTTGGCTGAAATTTCAAAGCCTGATTTGTATGGGAGCTGTGACACAACAAGATGGTTTAACTGTTATTTTCTGGTGAGTATGGCACTTTATGGCACCATCAAATGTGTAGTTTGTGAGGTTCATAATGAGCTCAATTACTTCTGTGAGCATGAACCAAAAGCCTTTATGCTTGTGCATAAAACCAGAATTCAGGGGTATTGAAATGATAGACATAAATTATAAACAAGACAAAAGTTGTATTGAAATTATGATACACACAAAATGCTTTTGAAAAACAAAAATTCAACATGGGAAATCACTTTGTGATTTCAGTGCCAAGAAGTGTTGATCTGGTTTATAAATGTGATTGAAGGTAGAAAATGGACATTTTGATACTCAAGAGTGGTCATATCCCTGAGATTTTGGTGAGTGATATACTGAAATCAACATTTGTTGTTGGATTTCTGTTGTGTTGTTTGTGTCTGGTTTTAACATTGGTATACACTCTTCTCAAATACATTCATTATCAAAGCATTTTTAATTTTTCATTCTCATTATATCACATTTCCAAATCTGTACAATGACATTATTATAGCTTATGACAGCATTTAATTTTGTGTTTTGGTCCCTACTTTATAACCTCAATCTGTTTCAGTCCTAGATGCTTTCTTTGCCTTATGATATGAATGTATCCTTTACAATCTTCCTATAATGTTTTGTCAATGTTTTTCTTCTTCTTTTATCTTATAGTAAGAGTCATTCTGTTGGATTCAGATTCAATCCAACAGTATTCAAGCATCTAATCTTGATATTCACTCAATTGAATTTTTCTTTCCTTCATTTCATTACAATTTTGATGATCTCATGCACACTATCCAAATGGTAGTAGCAAAAAATGGTTATGATTTCTCAAGACTTATCAAGATCCTTGATCCCCAAAGGTGTGGTGGAGCAACTTGTTCAAAACATGGTCTCTCTATTAACACAGTGTCTGTATAGAAAATCATACCAGCTTCTTCCAGTTTCAATCAAAAGATTCATTTGATTGCAAGAACAGGAAACTCGTTTTTACTATGCATTATTTTGATAAGTGCATAAAAATCAGTTGAATTCCATACCATCTGCTTGTTTGGCAATGAAGATTGATTGAACCAGGCCACCAGTAGTGAAAATACTGCTCCCAAAGATAAATTCCCTGTATGATTATCTCTCTGAGAGAATGGCAAAATATGAGACATAGCCATCTGTGCCATGGGATCAGCCTCCTCAATCTTTGCTTTCTTGGTGTAACATGATCTTGCAAGTAAATTCAAAAAGTTTGCAAGGAATTTCCAACCATCATCAATCAAGTCTTCAATAGATATACTGCTGTTGTGTTCCAATTTCAAAGCCAAAAGGCTACCAAAAAAGCATGGTGTAAACTCTTTATAGAGCTTTCTTACAAATCCATCAACTCTACCCAGTGATCTTGTATCTCCTTGATTTTCAGACAAACACTTCTTCTTCAGGGATTCATTCAACTGATCAAAATGTGTGTCTGCTTCAACACGCAGTGTCAGCATCTCGTATTGGTATCTCCCAAGACGCACTGTTAGATGGTAATAGTCTCTCCACCTGTAAGGTCCACCCCTACTGGATTTTCCAGGTAGTCTGTACTTGGAATTGTCCAAATGAAGAGGATTGTGAGGATGCAAGTGATAGTTTTCAAAAAGTGGTTTAGATCCATCACTACCATTTCTTGGTTTTAACTCCAAGAGATTGTCTCTGAGCAAGCTAGCAAATTCTTTGATTCCCACAGCAACATTTTTCATTGGGTAGGCAGAGTACCTAAACCACCTCTTCCACAATTTCCAAAGAATTGTCAGACTTGGTGATTTTGATTCCATCAACTTTGAAGCATATTGAAGTAAAGAAGAAGGCTCAGATATATCATAGCACATATGGGGGGACTTTTTCCAATGTTTTGAATCATTTTCTACTTTGACAGAGACCCATTGATAGATCATTTCTGTCAAGAATGACACTCCATCTTGAATCAGTTTAGCTTTGGAACCTTTCTGAGTAGAAGCTTCAGGTTGTAAGATTAATAGAAGGTTGATGAAGTTTATATTCAATGCCTTTTGAGCCTGGCCAATCTTGTGCCAAAGTTCACCTTTCTCTGGGTGTTTTTCCATCTCTTGACTTAGCTCTGGAAGAAACAAGTGTCCTTCAAAAGTGAGGTATGTGGGGTGATATGATTCATCAAAGATCCTGATCAACTTCATCAACCTTTCAAACAACAAATGATCAGTTACCCCATTTGCTATTGAATCCTGTGCGTTTTTGTAGATCCCACCATTAGAAACACCAGAAATACTAGTGATTTTTTGATTTTGTGTTCTTGGGTATCTGCCAATGGTTGCATCCTTTGCAATTGGCTGTTTCCTTTTCTTCACATTAGAATTCTTCTTTTTACCTGGGGGTCCAATATCATTGGAATCTGGGGAATTCAAGTCCTTTCCAGATACAGCTCCTTCCAAAGCTAAAAATGATGAGGGGGATGGGTTATCTTCAAAGACTACTTGTGTTGATTTTATGTTGTTTCCCTGAATACTGGGTGTAAGTATATGGTCTCCTTGAATCTGATCGTGCCCTAGAGGATGTGATTCCCATTCTGAAGTCAAAAGATATTGGTTTTCATCATGTGTGGAAATCAGATGTTCAAAGTTGTTCTTGGGATATGTGCTTTGGAATGCCATATAGGGTAGATTGATTTTATCATCTCTTCTTTGATTTTCAGATAAAACAGAGTTTTCCTGCTGTCCTGACTTTATCCCAAGAATATTATTATAATCCCCAACCTCTGAGGTGTGTGTGGATGAAAAGCTAGGATTGGAGGGATAATTGCTTGGACCAGTGTGTGTTGGTCTTGATTTATGAGCATACATGTTTCCTGCATCTACCCCATCATGTATCAAGTTGTGTACCCAATGTGATGAATAAATTGATGATTGTGGCAATTCTGTTGCAAACTGGTGCAAGTCCTCTGGTACCAGAGGACCATATAATTGAGCATCTTTCCTAGAATTTGAGTTTGAAGAATGATTTATGGGTAGTTCAGGTTCTGGATCCAGAGTATTTGAGAGCTTTGGAGTTGGTAAATCTTGTATCCAGTGATCCAACCATTCTGTATCAGAGAAATCTGTTTGCACTGCATTGTTCAGGTTTTGATTAGATGGATCTTCTAGTGAAACCAAGGGTAGATCATTATGATTGCAATAATTCCCAAATGTATCTGTGTAGAGGGAACCTGGCAAGGATCTGGTTCCATGAAACTCATTTGTAGTTGAACCTTCAAAGTTTTGGAAGGGAGTGATTGTGGATGTGGTATGGTACATCTGATCATTTTCATGACTCCAATGCTGGGGGCTGATCATACTAAGCCTATCAGGATGGTTTGAGCTTGTGTGCTGTAAGACTGGAATAGTACCCGGATTGGAGTCTTTGTCAGCTGTTTGAATGCTATCTTGCATGTTCCAAAACAAGTGGATCGGATCAAAGTGTTCCATTGGTATGCCCCAAGACATTCTTATCATCATGAGTACCAAGGTAATATGAGTGTTCATCTTTGTAGCAAGTACCTGATAAATTTTCATCGAAGTTGGATCCAGACAGTCATGTCACCGGTGGGTTATATGCGCGATTTTTGTTAGATGGAGTGAGTTTTTAATGCTGGAACAAGACTCACAAACGGCAAAGCCGTAGTAGATCAGCCATCACCTCGATTACTGCACTCACACCTACTCATGCATGTTTCAAGATCAAAATTGGGTGTTCCATGTAGTGTCCAAAAAAGCAGTCCAATGCTCACCACTCTGGGCTGTGTAAGGCTGTGTTTGAGAGATTGCTGCGCATTTTTTCCCTGTCAGAAGCTTCCGAAATGTTTGAAGAGTCAAGACTTGCAAGATATTGTGTCACATATCGACATGACGAAGGGCACGAGAACACGTTTTTGCTCGACAGTGATCATTGCTGAACCCTCTGAATGGGAGGAGATCGGGTTTGATTGCATGTCACAGCCTGCGACTGCGAAGCTCATCGACTGGTTCTATACATCTCAAATGTAAAAAAACTCATTTCGCTGATTCCAGGCGTTGTAGGAGCCTTTGAAGAGTCTTGCCCCGCGTGGGTCTGTTAGACTATGTCCTTGTAATTGAAATCACCACTGGTCATGTCAACAAACATTGCTTCTAGAATATTTAAAGACCGGAGGACAACGTGAGGCTTTGTACACACAGCTACAACTTTCTTTTATCTTGTTTTAAGAGATGCATTTGAACTTGGACTCAGAGGGCCTCCTTCACTTGTGCTTGAAGATCTTTCAATTCGAAAGCTCAAAACTGCTGAAATTCATCGCAGGATTCCTCTTAGGGATTCATACAAAATCTCGCATGGCCATCATTGACCGTTACAAGTGTTATTTTGCAAGGTTGAAGAATTGCACTCGGCTCAAAGTCTTGTATCATCTGAGTCTTGACCAATCTTCATAGCATCTTTGACTACAAATGAATTCGGTCCTTTTGAACCCACAAAAACCGGTGAAGGTGACTGGTTGACGCACAGCTATCCTCAATTTCGTTCCGGGAACGCTTTGTCTTGGTTCTCACAACAAAATTCATGGACAGATTTCCAGAACCATCCGAGGCCGAGGAAGTTTACCCCCTGGTGTTACCGTCAGTGGCAAGTGCTGTGACATTTCTAACACCGATGGTATCCAGGCTGTGACCCGGCCCTGAAAGCTCGTGGCCGGCCCCGGGGCTCTGACCGGCCCTGGGTAGACCCGATGGCTATCAAAATTTGGGCAAGGCTATCCAACTTTACATCCATCGTCTAACTAAGCATGGCACCACCCGTATCACAAAAGCGCAAAATGCCACAACAAGTCACTCGACCCGAGGATAACAGTCAACGTATCCTCGCAGCGAGTCCGAAGATAAGCACGCAGATGCATCCTAAGATGCTAGGATGCATCTTTAGTAACCTCCCAAGCTCTAAGTCCCACACAACTGCCAAATAAATGAAACGCCCCTTCACAACCCTTCACACTCCACTTGAAGAGAATTCCCGCTATTTCACACACTTCACATGCCTCCCACTGTCACCCCTCGTCTACACATGTGATACATACCCACATCACATGTATTAATACTCGCTACATATGACACATAACCCCACCAAAACATCAATCATCCCTTCCACCACCACCTCAACTATCCAACTTTACATCCATCGTCTAACTAAGCATGGCACCACCCGTATCACAAAAGCGCAAAATGCCACAACGAGTCACTCGTAACACCAAGAAACCACAACCTGCACCTGCTCCACCTTCTTCGCGTGCCAAACGATCCACTAATAGCAAACAACAGCCAGCTGAACCGATTCGCCCAAACGCCACCTCGTTGACCTTGTCAGACGAATCTGACGATTCGGATTCATCAGAGGAAGACGACCATGCATGGGAGGATCAAGAAGAAGATCAAGATGTAGATGGTCAAGACGAACCCGCTGCACGGCCACAAACACAGCCTCGTCTCCCTCATCCAAATGCTAGGCTCAAACACAAAATCACACTCGAAAACTACAAGGATCTCGATTTGGATATTTACACTATCAACGAACTCCTTTCAGCCTCTGGACGCAAAACTCGCAATCACATCCCATCTGATATCCAAAATGAATTGAAAAATCTTCAATTCATGTACCGGCGGGCCAAGAAAATGCTGGCATTAGCTGCCAAATGCAGCGAAAAGACAGTGAATGAATTCCTGTAAGTCTGAAACAATGTATCAACTCTTTGCTTGTCTTGTCATTATACTTACCTTTATTCTACTTAATCCTAATGGCAGACATGAAGTGAGTATCAGAACGAAACAAAACTTTTATCAAAACTTTCTTAAGTATAGTATTGAAAGTTCTAACACAAACAGTAAGTCGGCCTGAGTTCTCAATTTCAAAACTCTCGCTAACGACTACCCTCTATCAGTGCCACCAAGGAACACCCAAGAAGGTTTCAAAGAGCGCAACCAATACTTAGGGACAACTTGGACCAACCTAGAACCGGAGGAGAAGGATGTATTTAATGGTCGAATGTTTTTCTTCCTAGGATACCTAGCCTCTGGATGGGATCAGCCACCTGTAGAGCCTGGGACAGTTCCACTCGATGCCGAAGAAAGGGATACATATCTTCCAATATTCAAGCGACTAGTTGATCAGGATAAAGTCGCACGTGATCTAGGGAAAGGAAAATTCGGTCCACATCTCCCAACCGCTTGACAGAACAAGGGTATTGAAGAGGTGGAACGTATTGAACATGAGGTAAAGGTTCTGATCACGTCCATCACTCATTTATTGGTCATTAAAATAAACTTCTGTTTCAATTCCACCTAGCTTCAAACAATCCACATCCGTTACAGAGTTGACTATGCCCTCATGGAACCCCAACACTCGCAATGAGAAAGGTCAATGGCAAATGCAGTCATCATCCTCCGACGACTGGACAAGCTTGACCGATAAAAAATGGAAGCTTCTCGAGCATTTCGTCAGGCATATCACACAATCCGATCTCAAGACCAAACCCCCTAAGAAACCTCAGGCTAGTGATTTGCTTAAATCTCAACTCACAGCCAAGTTGAATAATCTTGTCCGTAAGTCCATCATTTTATTCAGCCCCCAAGAGCTCAATTTCACTCACAGTATCACTTCATAGGACAACATCTCAAGCCTCCCTTCAACCACTTAGACTGCCACCCAAAGACTTCATCACCTCACCTAACATTGAAAGCTCGAACTTTCAAGGGCAATACACACCTGGAGGTCATACAAGATCCCAACTCTCGTATGACAGATGCGCTCCTGGCAACTGCTTATGAAAAAATGGCTGCCAGAACGCATCAGATGTGGGTAGATGACATTAAAGATGGCTATTATGTAGTTGTTAAACAAGCGGTTGATGAGGACAATGAGGAGGCCCGTAATCCGGATGATGATGTCAACACCGTGATCAATCAGGAGGAGGAAGAAGATTAGTGTTGCAAATGTTCTCTTTGTCAAGCTGATGGTCTAAATAATGTAATTCCCAATGATGTCACTCCAGATGTTGTACAATGGTGTTCCTGCATGGCCCATTGGATTAATTACATTTCCATTGGAACTACATATCAGTACAATGCGCGTGTGTGGGAAAATAACCGGCACACGATTACACCTTGGAGATAGGCCGTAGGTGTAAAGTCGGGTCTCATCTGTAGTATTCATCCCAAAGTAAAGTGTTCACACGCGTGAAGGAAGTGTGAAAAGTGAGATCCACACATCCTTCACGCATGTAAGAATGAGGAACTTCCATTCTTCTACACATCTTCATTCGAAATCTTGACTTCAACAATTGACTTTCATAGGGGTGATACAGTGTCAACAGCGGGTATCACGAGCCATTCACACTTGTGAATGAATACAAAAGATGTGAGTTCCACGTTCACACGTTACCATTACAAATTATAACTTTCATGTAACATGCGTGTGTGTGAAAACAAGGGACAAATTATGATTCCACCTATGAAGAGGTGACGTGTAGGTGTAAACGTGATTTTCACATGGATTTTGAACATGGGGGCATCCCAAAGTCAAGTGTATGAAAAGCACATTCAACCAATTCGAATGATGTAAGTGTGAAGAGTGGTATTCACACGGGCTTCACACCTGTAAAGAGGTGTGCAAGGTGTGAATACCACTCTTCACACCTTTCCAATTCAAATCTTAACTCCATCCTAACTTATGCAGATGTGAAGAGTGTTATTCACACATCCTTCACACCTGTGCAGAGGTGTGCAAGGTGTGAAGTTCACTTTCACACCTTTTCATGTCAAATCTTAACTCCATCATGAGTGATGGAGGTGTGAAAAGTGTGAAAAGCCATTTCACACATCATTCACACTGCTACAGTGGTGGGCAAGGTGTGAAATGGCTTTTCACACCGTTCCAATTCAAATCTTAACTTCATCCTAAGTGATGGAGGTGTGAAAAGCCATTTCACACACCCTTCACACCTGTACAGTGGTGTGCAAGGTGTGAAGTTCACTTCCACACCTTTTCATGTCAAATCTTAACTCCATCCTAAGGGATGCAGGTGTGAAGAGTGGTATTCACACATCCTTCACACCTTTGCAGAGGTGTGCAAGGTGTGAAGTTCACTTTCACACCTTTTCATGTCAAATCTTAACTCCATCATAAGTGATGCAGGTGTGAAAAGCCATTTCACACGTCCTTCACACCTGTAAAGAGGTGTGAAGGACGTGTGAATACCACTCTTCACACCTATCCAATTTAAAACTTAACTCCATCCTAACCGATGCAGACGTGAAGAGTGGTATTCACACATCCTTCACACTGGTATAGAGGTGTGCAAGGTGTGAAGTCTTGCTATTCAAAACTTCACACCATCCTAAGTGACGCAAGTGTGAGAAGCAGTTTTCACACGTCCTTCACACCTGTGCAGAGCTGTGAAAGGTGGGAGGCACACTCTGCCTAT